AGCCCGGTTTTCCCTGTTTGAGTGCCGGTTTTATAGAGACACGACCACAAATCGATGTCTCCACAAAACTGTGGCTCGAAAACCGGCACTCAAATAGGGAAAACCGGGATTTGAAAACAAGCAAAACCGGTTTTCTCTATCGCAAACCGGTTTTCTCTGTCGCAAAACCGGTTTTGCACTGTGCAAAGCTGGTTTTGGGCTCAGAGGTCGGTTTTCGTGGCTCGCAGCCAGTTTTCGACCACCAAGACGCTTGCCTTGGAATTCATCGCGTCCCACCCGCCTCAGCCTCTCTCCCTCCCCTCCTGTGGCGGCAGCGGCAACTGGGGGCCAGCCGCCCTTATCGCTAGCCAACGCGGCATCAGCCGCGCGCTCCAGCTGCTCCCGGCCAAGGATCCTGGCTGCAGTCTGTCTGTCCACCGCGTCGCTCCCCCGTCGCTCCCCCGTCGCTGTTTGTTTTAGGTACGCTTTGTGAAAATGATGTTATGTGAGAGGAGACATGCCTTGTTGTGCACATTTAATTGTCTTATGTTGCCAGCGAGGCCAGCAGTCGACAGCTTCGTTGTACCCCATACCTCCGATGCTGTCGACGTCACCTGCACCAACCGGATGGCTTAGTTTGTGAAATTGGCGAGAATTCTCGTCGGGAGACGGCAGGAGACGGGGACGTCGTTCAAAGAAGAAAACAAACCACACGTACACCACCAGCTGCCGTGTTGTCCTCCCTTGTTTTCCAGCTCATCGGGTGCATCTCGCTCGGTTTTGTTTTTCTGGGTGGTTTCCCTCGCGCCCCGCCCACCATCCTCGCCGCCCTCCCTTCCTTCCCGTACGTGGCAGCGGCAACCAATGACCTCGCCGCCCTTATTGGCCCGCGCCTGCCGCCAGCGCGGCGTCAGCCAGCCGGGGCAGCTGCTCTCGGCCAGGGCTCCCGTCTGTCTGTCCGTTGCGCTCGTCGGTGTTTTATTTCGAATTGAGGTAAGTCACTGTGTGCCCGTGTGTGGACATGTGAGAGCAGATGACTTTTTGGGACTTTTTGAGCACATATACTTGTCTTGTGTTGCCAGCAGTGCCAGCAGTGCCAGCACACGACGAGGACTGACCGCCTGGTGCCGTGGGTTGGCATGAGAAAGTATTCTCGACGAGAGACGGAGTGTTCTTTTCGTTCTCGCTTTTTCGTCAGGTTCTCCAAGTTCAAGTTCGCTCTTCGGCCCCCTTCCGCCCCCACTCTCTCTTCGAAAGAAAGGAGAATAATGAAACCTCATCATCAGCGTGCCTGCCGCGTGCACGTGCGGGATGTGTGTGTGCGTCAGGATGCAACTCAAGTTCAAGCCATGCTGCCGTCAAAGGCTGCTCCTGCAACGGATGAGAGGATTTCGTCAGGATGTCAGGATTGCACCTTCAGTCACTAGGCGAATCAACCCAAGAGCGTCAAGTACGCCTCACAGGTGCGGTACAAAACCAAGGCTGGCTGCCACGCTTACGAATTGCATCCGCACGGCAATCCAATGGTGTGGCCCTCTCCTTTGCTTTTCAGTAGGTCCATCACACTCAAGTTCAACGCCGACACATCACGAACGCCATCCATCATGATGTAGACCTTGGTTACTATGGTGCTGGATGCCTTCAGCGGCGTTAGAGGAGCACTCCGATGACGAGGTCAAGTACCTGTCAGGTGAGTGAGTGATCCTACTAGTGAATGGAGATGGATCAATGCTTTGGGCTACGCCGCTCGGTTGATGTCTTTTAATCGATGACCTACCCACATACCTGTTTGTGCTGTGTGTGTGAGTGCAGGAGAAGTGCTGGACGGCCTGGATTTCATACACACCATGAAACTCACCTCACGCACTGAGGAGTCAACACTGGTAAGTAGGCACATACAGACGAGACGGCAAGCCTATGTGTCTTTCTCCTAATGCAGCACAAGAATGTCTTGTTTGCTGACCCGGACATAGCGCCAACCGTGCCACCGTCACGGTACGTACCCGCGCATATACGATAGGACCACCACGATCAATGGCCTTTGTGTGTCCCTACTGCAGATATCCGGCGCCCCTCTGGGCGATCACTTCGTCCGCCCGGCCAAAGCTGATATCAAAAGTGCATGCAAGACATGTCAAATACCACACCACTCATCACTCGTGTGATGCCCGTTTTGTGTCTCAGTCATAGATTTCGGAGGGGCAAGGTTTGAGGAGGAGTGTGATTCTCTCGTCGTCAACACCAGACAATACCCCGCCCCTGAGGTGATATTGGGCCGTCGCTGAGCAGAGCAGCACCAGCAGCCATGGCGACCCAGCGGCCCGACCTTTTCATCGAAGCGTGCAAGTTCGAGCAATGGCCGAAGGCGAAGCACGAGAGGCTGGAACGTCTCCGTCAGCGTGAGGAGGACACATGGATAGCCACGCAGCCAGCCAGCACACAGACAGACAGACAGACGGACAGACGGGGCAAGAGGGAGGGCGGGGCGCCGAAAGGCCGTTCTCACTGCATGCTCGTTTCTTCTCCGTCATTGTGTGTCCTCTCTTGGTGTCTGTGATGACTGACTGCAGTGCTCGACCGCATCACGCGCCGCCAACTTGAGATGGACCTGCTCGAACTCATCGTGAACCACCACTACTTGGGCGGTACGCCGCCGCGATGATGTGATGAAAGGGGTCATCACTCATGTGCCTCTGAATGCTTTCCTTGCAGGGAAGCTGCTGAAGGCTGAGGAGTATCTGCGGACGGGCGGCGACCGATTTGCAGTGCAGCGCACACGGCTGGTCAGCCCTATCTATCCGGGACTTACTGACTGACATCCACACACACGCTGATCAGTGGATGTGTGTGTATCCTGGTGTTCGATGCCTTCTCTGTCTGGCTTGTGCAGCTGGCGGCCGAGAGGGAGGTGCAGGAGCTGCGCCGTCAGCTGGAGGAGCTGCGCGCCCGGCAGCAGCAGCAGCAGGTAGGCATGGCTGCACCATGTGTGCAGGGCGGGAGGGATCGGCAGGCACTTACTGTGATTGATGCAGTAATTTGATGTCTGTGTGGCTGTCTGTGTGTTGTCGTCAGCCCGCTCAGGCCCCCCCAGCCGCCCCTGTCCAGCAGCACAGCGCCGCCGCCCTCCCTCCCCTCCTTCCCCAACACGCACACCCCCGCCCCGTCCCCCTAGTGCCTGGCCCCGTCCCCACCGTCGCTCCCATCGCTCCGCTCCAGCCACCGTCCCCCGCCCCCCTGCTGCACGCGGCCGCCCCCTTCCCGCATCCATTGGCGCCGCCACATCACCAGCCCCACCACCACCACCACCACCAGCCCAAGCACTACCACCACCACCACTACCACCAGCAGCAC